TTGGTGGGAATTGGGTGGTTCTCAGTTTTCAGATGGTGAGCTGTGAAACCCTGAACATCCTAGTACATACCCCCTTGGTGAATATGTGTGTGTCTTTCTTTTGTGTATACTAACAAATGGAATCGTCGGCTTAGCGGGAATGTACAAGGGCCCTTCAAAATGTTCATGAAAAATTGAATCAAGTGTGACATTTATTTTGGTGCAAAAACTGAAATCCAGGTGTGTACAAGGAGTCTTTGGAAACTTCATGAAAACATGCATATTACAAAATAATGAGGCCAGGAGCCAGGAGCTTCCTCCGGGTCTCCCCCATGGGTGCAGGAACCCAAGCACTTGGGCCATTTTTCTGCTGCTTTTCCAGGCACATTAGGAGGGAGCTGGATTGGAGGAGGAGCAGCTGGGACTTGATCTGGCACCCATAGGGGATGCTGGTGCCATAGACAGAGGCTTAGCCTATTATTCCACAGCACCAGCACTGAATGAACATTTCATTTTATAGACAGAGAGAGGGAGAGGGAGAGGGAGAGGGAGAGGGAGAGGGAGAGGCAGAGAGAGAGAGAGAGAGAGAGAGAGAGAATCCATCCATTAGTTCACTCCCCAAATGACCACAATGGCTGGAGCTGAGCCGATCCAAAGTCAGGAGCCAGGAGCTTCTTCTCGGTCTCCCACACAGGTGCAGGGGCCCAAGGACTTGGGCCATCTTCCACTGCTTTCCCAGGCCAGAGCAGGGATTTGGCTGGGAAGTGGAGCAGCCGGGACTCAAACTGGTGCCCATATGGGATGCTGGTGTTGCAAGTGATGGCTTTGCCTGCTGTACCACAGTTCTGGCCCCTGACTTAACTCTCAAGTGGATTGGGGTGAGGTACCCAGGCCCCAGGCTCCCTACCTAGGACTCTTTTGCAAAAGAGTAAAGGGAGAGACTTCTGCATGCACCTGCTCCAAGGATTCCATTCTCATTGGGGCTCACAGGCCTGGGGGTTACACATGGCCAGGGAGTAGCCAGGGACCCAGATGGCTCGGGCTCCCTCCCCGAGGGCATCCATGAACCCCAGCTCTGCAGCCACAGAGCATTTTCTCCACCTGCCGCGCCATTGGCTGCTCTCACTCTAGCCCAGTGCTCCGGCCTCAGCCTCAGCCTCAGCCCCTGATCTTGGAGGTGGTGACGAAATCCGGGGTGGTGTCACATGGCTCGCAGATTTCTGGCAACAGCTGCTCATCCTGGCTCCCTTGAGGAGTTCAACCATCCACACGCGCCCCAACACGAAGTCATGGCATCTGGTCGGACAGGGTTTTGTCAGCCGCGATCTGATCACAGGGAAGACGCCCAGGTGCCCCAGGCACTCTGCCTCCCTGAAATGCCTCCAAGTTGTGCAATCTGAATTCACAATGCAACAAAGGGTGCCCATCCCAGCCACAATTGTCAGGCATTCATCTATTCGGAGAATTTGATTGCGCTTTTGTGTGTGTGTGTGTGTGTTACTCCTAGTATCAGCTGTCAGGTACTTTCATAATAAAAGATCCAAATCTGTTTAGGACCAGGATGAAGGGACTTCAGTATGTTTGTGGAGAGAATGGAATGAAAAAATGTTTCTTTGGGTGCAAAAAATATTTGAATTCAATGCATAAAAGAGATCTTCAAGAAGTTCAGCTTCCTCGTGCAGTGCCGGCATCCCATATGGGCTCCATGAGTCCCCTTCTGATCCAGCTCCCTACTAATGCACTTGGGAAAGCAGTGCAAAATGGCCCAAGTGCTTGGGCCCCTGCACCCACGTGGGAGACCTGGATGGAGCTCCTGGCTCCTGGCTTCTGCTTGGCCCAGCCCCAGCTGTTGTGGTCATTTAGGGAGTGCACCAGTGGATGGAAACACACACACTCTCTCTCTCCTTCTCTCTCTGTAGTTATTCTTTTCAAACGAATGAATAAATCTTTAAAAATAAAGAAGTTCATAAAAATGTGCATTATGAGAAAACCATATGTGGATTTCAAAAATGTGTTGCACCTAAATAAACTGACTTTTAAAAATCATTTGAGAAGCAAAGAGACGCCACAGATGCCCATGCACACACACACACACACACACACAGAGGAGGAATCTTCAGTTCTCTGGTTCTTTCCCCAAATGCCTACAACAGCTAGGGCTGGGTCAGATTGAAGCCAGGTCATTGGAACTGAATCCAAGTTTCCCATGTGGGTGGCAGGGGCCCACCTTATTGAGCCATCACCTGCTGCCTCCCACGGTGCACAGTAGCAGGAAGCTGGAGTTGGGAACAGGGACTCCAAGCCAGGCACTGCAGTGTAGGACACGGGGGTCTTAACAGCTCAGCCAAATACCCACCCTTAAACACTTGTTCTTTTAATTCTATTTTCCATGAAATTTTTAAAGATTTATGTACTTGAAAGGCACAGTTATAGGGCGGGGTGGACAGAGAGAGAGAGAGAGAGAGAGAGAGAGAGATATCCTACATCCGCTGGTTCACTCCCTAGATGGCCACAACATTCAGCGTTAGGTCAGGAGCCAGGAGTTTCCTCCAGGTCTCCCACACAGGTGCAGGAGCCCAGGCACTTGGGCCCTCTTCCACTGCTTTCCCAGGCCAGAGCAGAGGGCTGGAGCAGGTTACAGTGTAGCTGGGACTTTGATCCCAGGCAGTCTGGTGTGGGCTGTACCACCTGTCCACCCCGCCTAACCTCTACTTTCAGTCCTACTGGAATTCTGTTACCCAACCTTCTCTCACCCGGGTGCGTGGATTCAGGGATGCCCTCTATTCTGTAAGGTGTTTTAATTACAGGGACTCTAATCCTGACGACTGTGCAGCCTCAGGGACAAGTGGAGGCTTAAGGAGAGTGAAGTTGGGGCTGGCACTGTGGTGTAGTTGGCTAAATCTCTATTCGCAGTGCTGGCATCCCATAAGGTGCTGCTGGTTCCAGTCCAGGCTGCTCCACTTCTGATCCAGCTCCCTGTTAATGCACCCAGGAAAGTAGCAGAAGGTGGCCCAAGTCCTTGGGCCCCTGCACCCACATGGGAGACCCTGAAGAAGTTCCTGGCTTTTGGCTTCAGATCAGCTCAGCTCCAGGCATTGCAGTTCTTTGGGGAGTGAACCAGCAGATGGAAGACCTCTCTCTCTCTCTCTCTCTCTCTCTCTCTCTCTCTCTCTCAAATAAAATATGATCCTATAAAAAAGAAGAGTATAGCTGACTTCCAGGGGTGCAAACGCCTCCTGAAGGCAGCTCCCTTGGACTCCTGAGCTCTTTTATTTCCCATTCTTCCCGGCCCAAGGTTAAACGAAGAAGAAATGAAGCGAGGCTTGGCTGCCCTGCGTGCCCATCTTTCGCTGTCACATGACCTCAGAGGAACGAATGAGCACCACCCAAATGGCTCTGCCGGAACCGGGACCCGTCCCAAATGCTGTCTTTCCTGTGACTGTGAGCTCACCTTGCATGTCCGATTTCTCCACCCTGATCTGTCCCAGGGGCAGTGGTGCGGTGCTCCCGTTCCTGCTTGCAAAATGCATACCAGACAGAAAAACGACACGTGGATTTTAGAACTGTGTTTGCACCCAAGCAGGCTCATACTTACAAAAAAATCAATTTAAAAATTATTTGAATTTTCTTTTTTTAACGATTTATTTATTTTATTCAAAAGGCAGAGTCAGAGAGGGGGGGGTCTTCCATCTGCTGGTTCACTCCTCAAATGGCTGCAATGGCTGGAGCTGGGTCTGTCCGAAGCCAGGAGTGAGGAGCTTCCTCCAGGTCTCCCACATGGGTGCAGGGGCCCAAGGATTTGGGCCATCTTCTACTGCTTTCCCAGGCACATTATCAAGGAGCTGGATTGTAAATGGAGCAGCCGAGACTTGAACTGGTGCCCCTGTAGGATGCCGGCACTAGATGGAGGCTTAATGTACTATGTCACACAACTGACTGAACACCAAAAAGGAAACCTCCTGAAGTGAAATGGACATTATGAGAAATGGTGACTTGATCAGCATAGCCCTGACTGCTAATGGACAACTTAATACATTATCCCTCATAGTATTTTTTTTGTCTGTTCTACTTAATATGACTGGTTTAATTCTGTAATTATCACACAGTTATTCTTAAGTGTTGAAAATTAACTGAAATGTGATCCCTGTTAAACATAAAAGTGGGAATAAGAGAGGGAAGAGATGTATAATTTGGGGCATGCTCGGGCTGACTTGCCCCAATTGGTAGAGTTGGAAACATACCAGGGGATTCCAATTCAATCCCATCAAGGTGGCATGTACCAATGCCATCTCACTATTCCAAGTGATCAATTTCAGTTCACAATTGATCATAATGAAAGGACTAAGAGTCAAAGGGAGCACATAAACAAGTCTAGTATCTGCTAACACTAACCGATAGAATAAATAAAGGGGAGAGTGATCCAACATGGGAAGTGAGATACTCAGCAGACTCATAGAATGGCGGATGTCCTAAATCGCACTCTGGCCTCAGAATCAGCCCTAAAGGCACTCGGATCTGGCTGAAAAGCCCATGAGAGTATTTCAGGCATGGAAAGCCAAGACACTCTGGCAAAAAGATCTCTGTGAGTGAGATCCCAGTGGAAAGAACAGGTCTTCAAAGAGGGAGGTGCCTTTCTCTGAAGGGAAGAGAGAACCTCCACTTTGACTATGACCTTGTCTAAACAAGATAAGAGTCGGAGAACTCAAGGGGCTTCCATAGCCTTGGAAACTCATGACTGGTGCATAGGGAGATTATTGATGCCATAAACAGGAGTGTCAATTTGTAAAGTCAACAACAGGAGTCACTGTGCACTTACTCCTCATGTAGGATCTCTGTCCTTAATGTGCTGTACACTGAGGCTTAATGCTATAACGAGTACTCAAACAGTATATTTCACTTTGTGTTTCTATGGGGGTGCAAACGATTGAAATCTTTACTTAATGTACACTAAACTGATCTTCTGTAAAAAAAAAAAAAAATGAAATTATCAATTCCCAACTTGACTCTCACTGGATAAAC